GCTGTCATCGGACTGAGTTTCAGCTGGTGGACGGGAGAGTGGATGGGCACAGAACTCAACACTGAGGTAGGAAAGGCAAAACACGAGCCTTCAAAGTTTTTCCCTAACGTCAGTTCATCTGCAAAGAAAGATGCAGCTTCTCTTTTGCACGAGGCGACAGGGGGGCTGGGAGTGGAAGACAAGATCTCCGACTCGTATTGTAGCAACTGGCCCATGAAACCAAAGTTTGGTGAGATCAGGCTTCGGCGCTGCTTGATGTAATCAAAAGCCTCCTCCAGGTGGAGCTTCTTAGTCTTCATGAGATATGCCATGCAGATTGTGGGAGACCGTGAAATCCCTGCTTCACAGTGTACCAGGATCTTGCCCCCTGTCCGTCTGACATAATCTAGGGAAAAAAAAAGTGATCGCAGATGTCAGTTGTCATTGGGGACGGAGAAGACACTGTGACACACAACCAGAGCTGGAGGTGGAGCATGGCACACGGCCAGTCCGCCAGCAAGGAGAGGCCTGCTCTTCTGTTGGGTGCTAAGGGTAACATGGGGATTAAAATGGAGACAAAACTCAGCCTGAGATGTAGCTGAGCTGCATATGACACTTGGTTTCAGAGTCTGTGGATCCTGATTTGCTTCTTTCTGCATTTTTTAGGAAAGTCTTTCCCCACCTCCTTCCCACGTGCCTGATTCTCTTTTGGAACAACTGACTTTGCAGAGCATTGCGAGACAGAGATCAGGTATCTGGGTAATGCTTGCGTTTGCTGTACCTGCATTTCTCTGCCTGTAGCTCAAAGTGCTGACCCAAGCCCAGCCTAGCCAGCCCTCCCACCGTCAGGTCTTTCAAAAGCTGCAGGGCTGCCTTTCTCTTATCAGCTTTACAAGGAAAACAGGACTGTTCTTAAAAGTCCAAACCTAAGTCCCTGCTTGGCCAGTTTGCAGCAAACTGCGGTACCAGGAGCTGAGCCCTTGGTGGGTACCCTTGGGTGGAGAGGCTGAGCTCACTCGCTGGGGCCTCACCACAAAGCACACAAGGGCTGGTAGGCAGTTGCTAATTACAGCCTGGTTAAAGGATGCTTGGACTTAAGTCAGGATATAAAAGGTTTATGCAAAGCACCCATTTTACACAACAGGAGCCACTGTGGTTACTCACACAACACAACGATTGTTATGAGATTAAAGAGAATGTGCTTAAAATAAGCTCTTTCCACACAAAAATACAGTTCAAAAATAGACCTTCTCTGCTCTATCGCCTTGAGCAATATGTTCAAGCTCCAATCTATGGAGAGCTGTGCTGAGTGTAGTGCTCAGTGCGTGGCACTGAAACAACAGAGCTGAGCAACTAATCATTTGCCTGTCTTTGATTGTCTGCTGGGGGACTGGTGCCACCACGACTGGTTATATTTAACTACTGCAGAAAATAAGGAAGACATGGATTTGAGTCATCTCCAGCATCTACACCACACACTCAATTTTAAAAGAAAGTGAAAACTGAAGTCATCCGTAAACTCCGGGAAATTTCCAAGTGACTCAACAACTATCAGAAGAGGTTGGGGATGGGACAGAAGTGTGTCGTGGATCAGCGTTTCCCTGAAAGGTGTGAGAAGTCCCTTACCAGGAAGGGCTCGGGCTCAGCGAGCTCTCTCAGATCAGATTCTTGTAATTCTGCCTGCGCTGTTGAAGGACTAGAACTCAGCTGAGCAATGAGTCCAGCAACTCTGTACCTGGGCTTTCATTCCGTTTCTCTCTCGAACGTTCCTGGAGAGCAACGGCACTGATTTCAACATCATCTCCACCCAGGCTGAGGCTGCTCCACCCCACTAAACCACCTTGTGCCTCTCCAGGAGGAGCCTCTCCCTTGCGCTACCTGGCACGGCTGGTGTGCTGCTCACCAACACAGCCTGATGAGGGAACATTTGGGAGCGGATGGCCCAAAGATTTCTAAAGGCCTCCTCATTTTTTTTTTTGCATTGGGGTATTTGATTAAAGGGTGAGATACCGGTATGATCAAAAGGAGAAATGGAAAGAGCTCTGATAAGGGGAGATGCTGGATTTCTAAGACCTGACTTTGGGATATCCCAGCACATCAACTGACTGTGCTTCACTTGGCTTCTACAGGATCTGCCATACTAATTCAAGGAATCAATGTTTTTTTTTCCTTTACAAAACGTCTTTGGTGTTATTCAACCATACTTCTTTGCTCCCTGTCATGCTGAAGTTACACCTACGTTTGGTTTGAAAAGAAAATAAAGCTAACCAGCTCACTCGCCTCGTCTGCCTAACAGCAGACAAGAGGAGGCATTTTCCTTCCTCAGCCTGCCAGCCTGGAGAGGAGGACCGAGGCCTTACGTTGAATGTCCCTCTTCCTTCCTTCCTTGCAGAAGTCCCTCTGCCAGGAGAGATGCTGAGGAAGGGAAGGAGCTTAAACTTTTGCTATGACATCTGGGAACATACAGAAAATAAAATATCCTTCCCATTAATATGTATTTTAACAGAAATGAATTTAAAATACATGAAGACTTGGACATTTGTTAATTTGGACCTACTGATGAAGTCGATGGCTTCCTGGAAGTGTGAGCTGATGTCCGCCGTATGACTGTCCTCCACCGGGATCCACTTGTAGCAATACTGCTCCTTGAAGGACTCTGAGCTTTTCCTGGAGACATTGAGCAGGGCCGTGATGTGCAGGTTGGCAAGAAACTCGCACTTGGAAGCGTGATAGGCACTACCAAGGTAGAGAAAAGGCAGGATTTCAACTGGACCACCCTGGAAGAGAAGGAGCAGAAACATGTAATTCCTTTTCAAGAGAATTTGAGTCCTGATATCTGAGAGAGAGGCAAGGGAGCCTGCGTGGATGCCTGCCCCCTCCCTCACTAGCATTTTTGGACCTCAGTGCCGCTGGCCAGCGAAGTGCTGCAATGGCAAAGCCCTTGCAGGAAAAAGAGCTTAATTTTCTTGTCCACATCTGCGAGGTGCAAAGTCAGACCCAGCCCACTCACACGCAGGATGTTTCTGCCTTTCTTTAAAGCTCTGCCCCTCGGGACGCACCCAAAGCACTTTCATATGTGAGGCCCGTTCCCTCTGAGGCTTTACTGAAACAGGGGTGAGGTGTGGAGCCACGTCCAAGCAGGGAGGAAGAGAAGGATGGAGGAAGAAGCTGCTCTAGCTCAGCCCAGGGCTCAGCCCCTCTGCTCACACATCCAAAGTTGAAGCGAAACAAAAAAAATATTGGAGCAAAGTTCCCATTCCCCCCTGGGGATGCACATCCCTGGGGCTCAGCACCCGCCGTGTCACCTGCTCCGAGATGTCATCTCGGATTCTCCTTCATCAGCGCAAGCAAAGGCTGAGTGATGAGACTGTGAACGAAAAAAAGCCACCGCCTGACACAAGGGTTTCAGAGACAACAGGTAACTTTCCATGATGCACAAGAGCCACTACCAGCCCCCAGCTGCAAGAAACGGGCTTCCCAGCCCCCCCGAGCTGCCTGCCTGGTGGGTCCCACACACCGGGAGCACACAAAAGCCACTTGCGGCAGGAGGACGGAAACTGGGGCAGGAGGTGCCCCCAGGGAGCTGAGAGGCATCACCCGGGGGCTCCCCGAGCGCCAGGAAACGCACTCGGCGGAAGCGGCCTGACCACAGGGTGACATCTCGGAGCACACGTATTGCTGGGGCGGGTGCGGGGGTGCAACAGGATGACTTCCCCGGTGGAAACCCCACTGCCCCTGCCCAAGGGCGGCTCTCAGGAGTCACTGCCCCAGTCCCCCTCCATCAGCACTGGAGCCCTCCTGGGGTCTCGGAGGAGGCACAGGCAAAGCGGGCTCCTTTGTCTGCCAGAAAAACGACTCTCCTGGCAGCCTCCCCCCTGCCCGTTATAAGTTTCCTGGGGAGACGTGAGTCACTCACGGCTCATGTTGTCTGGCTGTGTGATAAAAATGGGTGGCATATAGAGTTTTGGGGCTACACAGGATATTTTTCATCCTTCTGCTGCCTAATTTTGAAGCCAGCCAGAGGCAACACTAGCCAGCAGCACGCACAGGGCATCCTATTCAATATAACATTGACAGCCCACGCCAGCATGAGGGCCCCAGCACCCTGCCAGCCTCCAACAGAGCTCGGTGGCAGGAGGGAGAAGACCCAAGGGGAAGGGCACCCACCACAGCCGTGACACACACCTGGTCATAAGCGGGTTTGTGGTTGGCACTCTGCTTCTCACAGTGACTGGTGAGGTTTCTCTCCACCTCGGTCCTCTCTGGGGAAATGAGTTTTCCATCCACGCAGCACTCAGGATATTGTGAGTTAAAAGTTTCATATCCCCCTAGGGAAGGGTAAAAAAAAAAGAAAAAGAAAAGAAACATGAATGTTTGTGTTTCCAAAACCTGGTTTAATTACAGTGGAGGAGAAATGAAGCTCAGGTGCTTGCAATGCAGTGGGATCATGCTGCACAGCGATGGGCCCTGGGGGGTTAATGAGGGATGTTGCTTCCCTAGGGAAGAGGGTTTGTTTAAAAGGCTTCCAGCGCTGAAGAAAAACCTGATACCACTGACAATTATTAACTTGCCAAAAGCCACTGGATCCAGATTAAAACTGTTAGTGAATGTAATTCTGTTGAATCTAGCAACCATTAGCTCCAGTACAGCCGAGACTAAACACTCTCCCCCAGGTTTTGCAGATGAGCACTATTCCCAGCGTTTGAGACTGAGATTTCTGTACTCAGGAGTCATCCTAAGTCTGTTATTACTATACACACTGTGACAACATAAGAAATATTTTATTTGAATTTTTGAATGGACATAGGCATGAGAGGGGGATGCTTGCAACTGTGTCATTAATCACCACAATGCACAAGATGGCGAGGTAATGAAGACAGTCCCACTGAAACCAATCTATTCAATAACAGCTATAAAACTTAATGAAATCCTGTAACAGCATTTGACAACTGAATAGCCTCACATGAGCTATTCTGCATGGTTAAGTACTGCATTCGATTCATTCAGTGCACCGCTAATGAAAAGGAATCAATCCTATTATTACATTGTTACACAAAGTTTGTTGTCAGCTAAATCGTTGCCTGTTTCCAGGCTGGGATCGCACACGATCTCCAAAATGGATGTGAATAAGTCAGGTAGCAGAAGAAGCCAGGCAATGTCAGTGGTGTGCCACGTGTCTGCCACCTGTGCTTTTTCAGAACAAAAACGAATAGTGAAAGCTCCCAAACAGCTAGATTGAATAATCCTTCCAGCGTGGCCCTCGAGCAAACAAGGTGCCGAAATCAAACCCTCCAACGTGATTCATTCACCTGCAACTGTTTCGCCCCGATAAGCGGTGTCGGTGAGGGTGCCCCGCTGCATAGAAGGGTTTCGAAACAAAGGAAGTGCTGAAGATCTGAGCGGCCGCAGGGCCCCCACCGCCCACACTGCCAAGGCTGCCCGGTACAGCTACCTCTGACATTTCAGCCCCGTAACGCCGGTGTCTCATTTGTTTGCAATGTTTGAGCAGATGTGTGCTCGAATTCGTGACGTGCTACTGTCGCCCACTCAGTCCTGCCGTGGGGTCCTCGTGTTGCAAGAGGCTGGCAGGATCCAAAGCCCACTGAATGCGAAGAAAGTCTATTTTCCATGACGGAGGGCAGGAGGGTGGCTTTGCAGTCAGCTGGCACTCAACACCTGCACCTTTCCTCCTACTCCTCAGCCACATTCAGCCAGCTCGCCCCAGAGCTCACAGTGCCAGGCAGTGGGTCAAGCAGCCGAGTGACCATGGAGACCTAAAGGGGGTTTGATAAAATGATATCCCTAACAACTGGCAAAGTGAAAAGCCAACAAACACAAGCAGCTCCCCAGACTTCTCTGCTCTTCTGATCTCGACTGCCCTTCATGGGGTGGACTTTTAAATCCTCTTGTTTTGCACAGCTGACCTTATCTCCCCCCTGCTCCCCAACCACTGCCATCACATAGGAAAAATACGTCCAGTTTATATAAATAGACATTATCCCCATCTACACCCTGTGTATTGGTTTTTTTGTTGTGTGGGTTTTTTCGGTTTTTTTTTTTTACTTTTGAGTGAACACAGAAATCTGCTCAAGCCAAATCAGCGTGTGTGTTCAAACAGACATGCATGTCTCATGTCTCTGGGGCAGCTGACACAGCTGGTGAATGGTTAATTACAAGCCTTGGGGATCAGGATATTTGCAGGCCATTCTTACAGTGAGTCATCTTCTCATCCCATCCTTCAGCAATCTCCTCTCTTCCCCTTCCACACTCAACCCAGCTTCCCTGAGGTCATTTCTGCAAATACTGGATTGCTCATCACAGAGAGCTGGGCTGTGCTTCGGTTTTAATCAATAAATAATAGAATCCTTGTCAGCACCAAGGGAGGATCCGTTATCTTTCTGCAAGCTCTTCTTTCCCCTGCCATACAACCACTCCAGCCTTGCTGAGGCTGAGCTCACCCAGAATGAAACTGCACCTACACAGATGAAAGATGTGACACACTCAACCCCTAGAAGCCAGAAAGTGAGGGAAAGAACTGAGCCGACATGCAGCTTGGCCTGCAATTGCTCTGCATTAGCCACCCTGGCTGGGGCCAGATCCCCAGGATGCTTGGTGACCCAGTGGGGGTGACCTGTTCCTATCTTATCACTGTGACTTCCAAGAGGAGACCACCTTATCCCTTAATTAGCCGATACCTCCTCCGAGCTCCCCCACACCTAGGGAGAACAGGAATATAAGGAGGGAACCTCAAGGGGTTTTTTCGTGGTAGTTTTACAGCCCATTATTTGCAAGGTCGGTGCTACAGACCTGCAAAGGACGCTTTCTTCTGAGCAGTGCCCAGTGCTTCAGGATGATTTATACTCCTATTGTCCCAGAGATCTTTCTCCAGACCACAACAACTTCCTGGGGGTCCGTGGCCCCAGTGAATCAGCAGTGCTGCCCACTGAATCACTGGGTCCTCAGGCCACACCAGATCTGAAACGGAGCTGTGGGCTTCGTGGGCCTGATCCTGCGACCCAGAGGACTTCCAGCAAAGCAAAGGGGAACAGCAACAGGAAAAGGAAGAAACTTTCTCATGCACTAAGGTGAAATCGTTTTAGCCTCAAATCGACAGGCTTTCAAGATAAGACACTTTGCAATACGTGAGAGGTACTGAAGCAGAGCCTACATCAGCACTCCACCCCAGATAAACTGCCCACAGCCACAGCCACCGCTTCAAAGCGTGAGGCTGGTACATGAGGAGGGAAGGACCATCTTGTGGCTAAATCAGCAGGCTGAGAGTCAGCGTCGTTTAGTTCAAGCCCTGCTTTGCCACAGACTTCCCAGCATGAACCTGGAGATGTTTCTTCATCCCTACTTTAACGGGGTCCCCAAGGATTCACCTGGCCCAGCACAGTGCAAGTATCCCTGCCCTGCAGCAGCAGAATTGGTGCTTTTGAGGCAACCATTAGACCCCAGGACAGGCTGGCAGCACCCGGACAGAGCCAGGGCGGTGGAAAACGGTCCCGGGAGTCTCCCTCCTCCTTGTAGTACCGGACAATACTCAGGCTGAAGGTGCCTCACCCCTGCGGGGAAGCCCTTCGGGCACTGTTCGTTGTAGGAGGCACAAACTGGGCACATCAGGACAAAAACTAGTGTGACAAAAGGCTTAAAAGTGAATTAACCCTGGCCGGTGAGGACACAGGGGCAGAGTTTTTTCAAGACACGTCGCCTGGTTTTCTCCTTCATTTATGACCTCCCCATGGCCTCAGGTTACGGCGAGGGGGGTTGTTTGGGAATTCCTACTTCGGCGTGGCACCGTTTCGAGGAACGCCGGGGCCGCGGCAGCCGGGTGTGCGGTGCTGCGGGCGGGAGCGTTCCCGGAGGGAGGATGGGAGCTGAGAAACAGAGAGGGCAAAAGGACAAAGGCACTGCTAGGAGGAATGGAGAGGGGGAAGGGATGGGAGGGCAGAGAAAGGGCGGGCTGCTATTTTTTTTTTTATCGTTTTATTATCGCCGGGTTACAGGGAAGGAAAACAAAGAACCACAATCAAAGGGCTATAACACACGTGGGGGGGAGGAGGCATTTCTGTCCCCCGACAAGCCCAGAGTTTCGGCTATGGATTTCCCCTGTCAGCCTC